CACCAAAAAATAATAACCCTGACTTGAGAGTGATCAGCTCTTTTTTTTCTATTCTATTAAATATTTCTTTTCTACTTAAAAATGTGGATCGATACTTATTAAATTGATTACACTACCCCACACTTTGTCTAAACTATGTTTGAAAAGCACCTATCTTGGGTCAGAGTTTCTAATCATGTTGTGATTAGTTCCATTATAAGAAGAGGAAGAGTCACTCTCTCTCCTCCCTCCCCCCCCTCTCTCCCCCAGAAGAGGACAGAGAAAGAAGACTGCTGTCTACAAGCCTGAGAGAAGTCTCTAATCTTCCAGAGCTTTATGAAATACATTGCATCTTTTAAAGCTCCCCCCCTCCAAAAAAAAAGAGAGAAAGAAAACCACTTAATTGCCTCTCTGAACATGTTTTTATCACTACATCATACCTAACACACAGATACATGACAGATGTTTAATAAAGATTGCTGAATTAATAAGAGTTTTCAAGGAAATAATGTATGTAACATTTTTCCATATCCAGAATGGTAGGCAGTCAACAGCAGGCGAAATAAAGATATCAAGATTCACTTTCACACTCTTTGGACAACAATCAAAATAGAAAGACTAAAAAACACATAAAAACTCAATTCAAAATTAAAGCAACAGAAAAGAATACACTGAAATTTTCCTTTTGTTGGCAGTAGGGATCTGTATATTATCTTTCTAATATCAGCTATCCCAAGAAATATGATATTCAAATTTATTCAAGGTACTAATTATGATATTAAGATTGAAGTTTTTCTTCTTTTAGAAATAACTAGTTGGCCAGGGTGTTTTTTTTGTTTGTTTTGTTTTCGAGAAACTTAAGAAAAACCTTCCCCCAATTTAATAATGTATTAGAAATCAAATATATCTTAATTTATAGGTGTACTGTGATATATAATTCAAAGTTTCTCAAACTTGTCTCTCTGGAAATGTGTTATTTAATAAAAGAGAATTTTTATAATGGGGGGAGAGGTTGACAGAAGATATAAGTAAAACACATGAGACTAGTGAAGACCTGAGACATAACCCAGCTTACAGATGAAAGAATTTCATATATCAATTGCTCCTTAGTTCTTGCTGAGAACAGATCTTAATTATACCATTTATGACCATCTTTCTCTATCACACACCCACCCATCTACAACTGGTGTTGATGATCTCTAGGGAGTGTTTGGAGAACCAGTTAAGATTTATGAAACTCTTAAGAAATATTTGCATAAATGCAGACTCATGCTATATTTACTTAGTTATCTAGTGTTTTATGTTAGAACTTCGAACTATGAACATCTTTATCAACTCTGTTAGGCCCCAAGAGGAAATGTTTTGGATTGAAAAAGAATCTAGTTCAATTATGAATATAGGTCTTCATTCTAAGGATAAATACACAATTTAAAAATTCCCAAACTTTTACCAATCAGGCTCTATATGGTATCCATAAAAGTATATCAGCTTAGAAATTCCAGTTAGACCATCAGACGTGACCATACTCATAAGAAAAATGTACACATCTGAAGTACAAGGACAACTGTAACATTCTTCCTTGATTTAGTAAGAAAAGTAAATAATACTTTTTCTTAATAACCAAATAAGTTCTAATGTGTTTCAGAATGGAATTTATCAGGTTAATTCCATCAGGAAACATATACTTCATAATACATCTATGCTTATTGAACTCATGTATTATGAGTATTGCTGGAAAAATTAAATATCCAGTGAAGTGGCTGATAAACAAAAGTGATGGGTAGTCTATCAAGAGCCAAGTCTCCATATATAGAACAACTGATTGGCAGTCAGAGAAAAATACATTTTATGAAGGCTTTTTCCCCCTCTCTCTTTCCATTCAGCAGCATTTTTACAAAGCAAAAAACAAAACAACAACAACAACAACAAAAACACTGCTGAGGTAGACAGATATATAGATGTCTATTGGGAGAGCTGTTGCTTTGGCTAGGAATTTGGAGTTTCTCTTTCTTTTTCCCTCTTCCTTTCTTTCTTTCTTTCTTTCTTTCTTTCTTTCTTTCTTTCTTTCTTTCTTTCTTTTCTTTTCTTTTCTTTTCTTTTGTGTGTGATAGGGTTGCGCAGGCTACCCTCAAACTCTTGGGCTCAATTAATCCTCCTCCTGCCTGTCTATTAAGTAGCATGCCACTGACTACACCTATGCAACCTAGCTCACTTTTTAAATGTGGCTTGATAACATGCTATACAGCATGCTATACAGCATGAATCAATGAATGCAATGCCACCAGGTTCTTCAAAAGAAGTAAAGAGTCATATCAAGACACTTTTTTCTCTTCATACATATTAAAGAAAATTCCTTTTGTTCAAGGTAAAACTTCATATTCAAACGGGGTGGGGGGGGAGTCCCAAACACTTCTATTTAGTTAAAATGCTGAAATTGTATATGATCTCTTAACGTATGTCATTTTATTTACTTTCAAGCTTGGCATTTCCATTTGTTGTTTTTAAACTCTAGTTTCTTTCTTTTTTTTTTTGGTTTTCAACTGGCATTTCTGCAATTTTATTTTTTTTTGTTTCTTTTTTTATTGGTTGTTCAAAACATTACAAAGCTCTTGACATATCATATTTCATACATTAGATTCAAGTGGGTTATGAACTCCCATTTTTACCCCATATACAGATTGCAGAATCACATCAGTTACACATCCACATTAAACTCTAGTTTCTTGACTCAGTTCAATCAGTTGAAATGTGCCATTAAAAATAATCAATAGTTTCAGAAGTTCACAGTTTTTACCCTAACATCTGAAAATCTTTCATCAAAAGACCATTATTCAACCATCTAACCAAAAACTGGAATTGGTCATTCCTATCTATAATATGTAGTTCAAACCTCAGGCAACTGGAATTCATAGAAAATAAAATATTAACTGAGAGGGGAGAGAAAAACTGCCTAAAAATAATTTTGGAAACTTAGTTAATCCTACTATAGTTAAAGGAGAAAATGATATGCCAAGGTTTTTGGGAACTCTAGGGAATTTTATGTGGCTTTTAACAATAAATACAGTTCATCACTTTAAGGCAGAGGCAGTAAAAAGCCCCTGTTTTATTTTCAAACTTTATTTTTTTGTCTTTGGTACTCTGAAGGTTATACATTACCTGTGCTACAGCTTAAAGATGGAGAAGGGTGGCCTGTTCAACACTAGATTTAATGTAAGCAATAACTTTGGTTTGGCTAAGCAAGGAAAAATAATACATATATCTTATTCAATAATATAACACAAACTAAGACATTTTCTTTGCATAATTTTCAATTGCTTTGAGATTTGAGAAATCTGAACCTAACATGTAGCTTCCTCTACATTTATCCATAGTAAATATAGTTAAGAAACATGGTGAGTTTTTCCTTTAATGATTCAGGATTTTGTGATTTCTCAAGATTCATAGTTTACATATGAATTTTCATTTTTAATATTACAAATATAAAATGTATAGGAGATAATAGATATATCTTTCCTCTCAAGCAGACTTGTTCACTATTTTAAGAGAAATTTTACTAAATCCATGATATCAAATTATTTTTTATAATAAGATTATTATTTATTTCAAAGTAATTTACTTAAAAATCCTCATAATCAAKATTATATTATTTATCAACTGTAACTGTGGGGAAAATATGAACTTGTGTATTTATTAAAATTCTATGGTGGTTTTATGAACATTAATAAGGTGAAATAAAAATTTATTTATGAAACAGTGTGAGCAAAATGCATTACAGAAGTATATTATCTAATCATTCATCTAAGAATGTGCAAAAAACCTAAATTTACATTTCTTTTATAGTCTATCAAAAGCCCTGGGAGATATTTGTAAAAGTTAAGTCAGGTCAGGTATTGTTCTGAAGAAATTACTTCCAAAGTATCAAAGAATATAACATGCATTGTGGATGAGCAAGTGGGGTCAGAGGAGGATGACAATAAAGAATGACAGATTCAAACCACTATAAATTGCCACCATCACCTACTCTATGCACCAGAGTAGCACAGTAGATCAAATATCATATTCAGACAAACCACAAGATGCAGAACAACAACTAGGAGGAGGGGAGAGGAAGAAATTTTGCTTGTAGTGATTCATTTTGGAAGTATTTTCAACCTAGGATATGCTATCACTTTTTTCATCATAATTTTAAAATATGCAAAGAATTAGGTTGGTCTAAAACTTTCTATTATTTTAACGTATCAAATTCTATTTGAAATGCTACCAAAGTTAGAAAAACCAACTATATATAATACTCCACAATAGTTCCAGTATACTTACTATATTAGTTACTGAGAATAAATTTGAAGAGCCTCCTTGAACTGCAAAATTTGATTTTCAATGAGACTCTGTTTAAACAAAACTACCTCACATTTCTGTTTTCACTGTTTATGCCTATGAAATGTTATAGCAATAATTTTTGTTTCTAGGAAAAACAATTGTCTGAATATTGTATGATCATTAACTATGACAAATTTAGCCATTTCATTTTTATTTTCACAGATCATGTTAGGAAGAACACTACAAAATGCCAGATTAACATTTCAAAATGTATCTGAAAGTAATGAAGGGAAACTGATTCAGTTAGCAACGCTAAATAAAACAGACAATTCATACAGATGCTTTCCCTGTAAAATATTAAATAAACACTCAAAAATGGCAACCTTTTCAATTTAATAAACCAATCCCTAACTTATTTCTCTGTCGGAGCAAAGTTTCTGCTTGACCAAAGCTCTGGTTTTATATGCAAGCTTTTTTTCTGATCAAAAAATATGTACTTTTTAGAAGATATGGGTATTAAATGGAATCACAAATGACTTTTCCTCTTCCCTTTGCCTCTCTCTTCCTTGCACAAATGCTGAAATATATTGGGCTGTATAAAACAGCCATTTTATTTTGTCCCCAGATTATCAATTACAAGTACAAATGCTGAGAGTTGTTCAATTGGATTTGCAAGAGTGCTAAAGTGGAAACGCTTCACTTACTTGCCATTGTTTCATCAGCTCTCTTACTCCCTTGGAGTCTTCTAGGAGTCTCTCCTTATAGGTAGCATCCTGTAGGACATTGGCAGTTGTTTCAGCTTCTGTGAGCCAGGCAAGAAACTTCTCCAGGTCCAGGGGGAACTGTTGTAGTAATCTGTGAGTTTCTTCCAAAGCAGCCTCTCGTTCACTCACTCTGCAAAGGAACAAATAGCCAGATGCAATTCTCAAATATCAGAATGGGGTACCCAGAGAACTCCATGAAAAGAGCAAAGGTGGGTTGTTGCTCAAGCTCTTCTTTAAGCAACAACAACTTGAATACTGTGCTATTTATCTTCATTTCTATGTACCTTAAAGGCTTCTGCATGGAGGAAGGCATGCAAGAATATCTATTAAAAATGAATGACCACCCCAGATTTCTATAAATCTTCTCTACAGAAATGGTTCTTGCACATGCACACACACACACACACACACACACAACCTTTGGATATTTGCAAATTCATATATAGACATCAAAACTATCATCTTTTAAATGTAATAGTTTGTGCTGGGCAATATTGAATGCTTATTTTGATATGCTGCAAAAGTTAAAGCTAATGTTTATAAGTAAAACCTTAGAATCTCTCCTCCTGCCTATCTTTTTTTTTTAAATTGTAGATGAACACAATACCTTTATTTTACTTATTTATTTGTATGTAGTGCTGAGGATTGAACTCAGTGCCTCATGCGTGCTAGGCAAGCGTTCTGCCACTAAGTCACCTCCCCCACCCCCGCCTATCTTGATGTCACCCTGAAGCAAGAAACAAGGATTAGACAGGGAAGGAGAAAAGTCAAGAAGATACACAGTCAGAAGGTATTTTTTTCACTAGAGGTGAAAACTAGGATTGGAGGGCAAAGGGAAAAGAAAGATTAACAAGAAAAAAAACCAACATTTCATAGAAACCATTGTACAAAATATCATGTTGCATGACCCTAGAGTGTTATAACTACTTTACTAGGTTCATATTTCATTAGATGATGGTCATACAGCTGTGAATATTCCCCAAAAGAAAAATGTTATGTGTAATGGAAAAAGTAAGAGCCTTAAAAACCAGACAGATCTGGGTTCAATTCCTAGTGTTCCTTACCAGTGGTGTGACATGGCAAGTTACTAACTTCTGTGATTTCTCATTTCCTCATCTCCAGTAGCTATGGCTGGGATGAGAATCAAATACAATAAAGCATGTAAAGTCTAGCACTTCACATATTACACAGTTACTCATTAGAGATATTCAAAAATGTTCTTTCTACTCACATTCCATTTTTCCCATTCTTCTAGTCTTTTAAAAGGATGCAATAAATTATCTAATGACACACACACAAAAACTTTAAAAATTTACATTTTCTGGAGATTATATATATATATATATATATATATATATATATATATATATATATTCATTCATTGTGGATACACACACACACACACACACACACACACACACACCCTCAGCAAACATCTACATAATAATAGCTCAGGAGGGAAAATTACCATAGGCAGTAACAGTTCCATCTAAAAAGATTCAGGTAAATTTTGCCCCAAATGAGGAAATTAGTACTCTATTTAAATGCCTTATTTGCCTTCTCTTACTACACAAACACTTTCTGGGATTAAACATAAGCTAAAAATGGATTTAAAAAATTGAACACTTGAATATGATACACACTGCTTGTTAAGATGTGATTGTCAATAATTATGCAAAACTGCAATTTATTTCAGCAGCAACTTTATCATGGGATGTGCAAACCAGGCAAACAACTCCTGCAGAGCCAGCGGCAGCAAAGCCCCCGGAAGAGCTGTTTATTCATCATGGGTGAGGTTTTTGCTGAGCACACAGTCTTTCACAGGGTAGTTTCGGCACTCATACTGGATAAAAATCTTCTGTCTGCATTAACTCGTGGAGAGTAGAATAGGTTTATGAGGATGCAGCTATTGGAAAAAAGTAAGCATTGCACTAAGTTATTTATCAACTCCTAAATAAATGTTAATACAGCACAGCTGAAAGGCAGTGCAGTGTTCTGGTTGGGCAAAGTTAAACCCCACAGAACACAAGGGCTAACCTGGCCTGCTGGCTTATCTAGTTTGAAGCCAAACTATCAATACAAGGACAAATATCAAAATTGTCATCTATCAGGATTTAAAAATGCAGAACCATTGTCACAGCTTCCAGAATCTCAATGCTACAATCGGGCATGCAATGTATAGCAAGCTGAACCCCATGTAACTGCTGACAAGTGACTGTTCCTGAACTGCAAAAGAAGCAATTTTATCCAGTTTGCACTAAGACTTACTCGATCTCCAGTCCAAAATACAGGCCAGAAATAAGCTGTCACATTCCAGAAGATGAATGCACAGTTAGACATTGACATATTTTCTAATATACTCCAATTACAAACAAAATTAAAGGATAATAGGAAATTCTCCCACTGACCTAGTGAAACTTGGGGAATTAGACATTGTGCATTTTATTATTAGCTTCATCTTCATGATGAGATGCACTTGACACACCCGAACTCCTCTCTCCTTAATCTAGAAACACCACTTACCCTCTGTTGCCAGAGAAGTAACTAGTAAATAACTTTCTAAGAGTTATTTGCAAAATGCAATGCACATAAATCAGATAAAAGGGTTCTACCCAGACAATGAGATTTTCAGCCAAATCCTACCAGTGAGTTTGCTGCTTTGTAAATTAGGCCCTTAGGGAAGAAGCATAACTCTTTCAGGACAGTAAGGCACCATTTTCCTAAATGATACCCTCGTGGTCTGAAATATTGACAACATCAGGCTGGATATTTTCTAATTTGGGAAACACTTTAGAAAAATCCAATGGCAGCAACAGCAGAAATATCTCTTCAAATGAGCTCTTTCACAATCCTTGTTAATCATAGGTGAGATTGTTGTTTCCTGCTTGTATAGGGTTTTTTAAGACTACAGTCATTCTCCTGGGTCCAATGCATGTACACTGAATTCCTAAATTTTAATTGTGCCAAGTTTAGACTATAAATGAGTCAAGAGTACTTAATTTCCATATTTTTACATTCAAAATAACTCTAAATATACCCCTTAGTTTTTAATTTTTCTCAGAAATATGGCTTTGGCTTATATGATAAACAGAAATATAAAAATAATGAGAATCATAAATGAATAAATGATTGATTTAGACCAAAACTAAAGATCCTGAACATGTATTATTTTTCAATTCCTTTGTACAGGGTAGCAAACCCTGGAGAAAATTTTGTTGAATTTTAAAAGTAGAAATGGCCAGATATTAGAAAAAGTAATAATGCTTTACAAAGAGAATCTACTGTAGAGATTAAGAACTTTTATATAGCAAAATCAGTTTTTCCAGCTTTATAATGTACACAAAATAGCTGAGAATTTGATGGAGTAAGGAATGGTATGATGATTTCAAAAGGTTCTTACTCTATTTCTAAGGACATCCTGTAGTATTCTCAATATATAAACAAGAGTGATATGGAACAATGGTTCCCCAAATATGGTCTATGGACTAGTAGAACCAACATCATCAAAGAACTTTTTAGAAATGAAAATAAATTGTCAGGCCTCATCTTAAGCTTACTAAACCAGAAATCTATAGGTGGAGTCCAGTAAGCTGCTTCAACAAGCCCTCCCAACATTTTTAATGCATGCCAAAGTTTCAGATCACTGCTGCTGGGGAATAAACTTTGAGAATCATAATGTAGCAGACACTGTGGTGGGCTGCCCAGTCCCCTCTTCAGGATGAAAATACTTCACTGCTGAGAGTGCTGCTGGCTAACAGGCCTCAGGACTGGACTCTGTTAAAGAGAGCTGCTCCCTTTGTTCCTGTGGCACACTGGACCTGCTGACAGGTCGATATCTAATGTGTGGGTTATAAAACCCTGGCTTCCTTACTCTAAGTCAGGATAATTCTGAAGGGCTACCCTAACTCTTTTTGGGGAAGGGAGGGTCGATTGTTGTCATAGTGACAGCTGCATGGGTAGCTCAGCTTCTACTTCCACCCTATTCTGCTCCCTTTCCTTTTCTCCTCATAGGTGTTAAGCTGAAAACCCTCTCCAATAAAATTTCTGGACATTAATCGCTTTCTCAGAATCTGCTTTCTGGAGAACCTGACCTGCTGAAGCGTCTGTCATAAGAACTTTGAAAATACACATGTCAGACTGGGGTTGTGGCTTAGCGGTAGAGCACACGCCTAGCATGTGAGAGGCGCTGGGTTTGATCCTCAGCACCACATAAAAATAAATAAAATAAAGATATTGTGTCCAACTACAACTAAAAACATAATTATTTTTTTTAAAAAAACAATCTATGGATATTTCATTCCCTCCCAGAGGCTTTTACCTCTAAATAGATTATCTTTCCATTTGAACCTAATTCTTATTTGTGCATGCTTATCATCTTCTCATTAATATATTCATACATAAACCTATTCTATGCCTATTATATGCCAGATCTATGCTTGATAGTGGTGATATGGAATTCAGTGAAACATGGACTTTGGCATTTAACATATTCAAGTCTGGCAGAGGAGATAGGTAAACATTTAACAATAGTTAGAATGCACTTAGGGCTACAAGACATCTGCATTCTTTACCAGTAGCTCAGAAGTAACATGCATCACATTGTACTCATGAATTTATTTCAATTTGCCCAATCAGCGATGAATGTATCTTATACATTTTTGCCTTTTTTTTTTTAATCAAAGGAAGTGGAAATCATCTAGCTGGGCTTTATCTCAAAATACAGTGATGGATGCTCAATAAAAGTTTGTCTAATTGATTTGAATTTTCATAAAAAATAAGAAACCTTCTAGATAAACTGTGCAGGTTATAGATGCTTTTATTTTGCTTTTGGACTGACTGATTCTGAGAAAACCATAATGACTTTGCCAAGATTGTGCACAAGTAAGTGACAGAGCTGGGATTTTAGCCCAAGTCTTGCATTTTAGAAAAGAAGTTTTTCTAACTCTGATGATAGATATTGGTGTCCACCCCTTTCAGATATATTCACTCAAGTGAAAGAAAGAAAAGGGCAAGGAAGGTTATGTTACTGAGTCTTGGCCCTCATTTTGGAGCACAGTTTGATCCTTTTGTCACTTTACCATAAGTGGGGTTGAAATACACAAATACTTACATGTAAGGAAAAACATGTAC